GCATGAAGAAACATTAGCAGCCTTGTGTAAATGAGGGTGGATGGAAGGAGGAGTAAACCGTCACATTAAAGTAAAAATCACACTGGGGTAATCACAGTAGGTAATACAGTAAAGTTCTGTAAACTGATCAACTCCATCAAATAGGGCTGGGAGATGTATCGAACATAGGGCTGTCAAACGATTAATCGCATCCAAAATAAAAGTTTGTGTTTACATAATATATGTGGGGGCACTTTGTATAATTAATTTGTATATAATTAAATATATATATATATATATATACACACACACACATGCATGTATATTTAAGAAAAAAAATATTATTTATAAAATATTTATATATATATATATATATATATATACAGATGAAAATATTTCTTAAATATATACTAGCATGTGTGTGTATTTATATATATATATATATATATATATAAAATAATTATACACAGTGCACCCACATATATTATGTGAACACAAACTTTTATTTTGGATGCGTCAGTTCAGTTAAATTTATCAGTTAAATTTCTCACGGTATCAATTTAACATAAAAAGCAAAATATTGCATATATAGTGAATAAAAATGCATGTTATATTGCTCAATTGATGTTTTATTGTAACAGCTGGGATACGTCATGTAATTTTAGGGGCAAGGCCATTTGGCCTCCACCTTTTTTTTTTTTTTTTAGGGGCATCAAGGCCATATGACCGGGCACAAAGGCCATTGAGTACAATTTTATGGTTTTCCCATTCAGATTAATACCATAACATCCTAATTTGGAATGAGACATGAATCATGACTTTTTTAATAAAAATAAAAAACATTTTTTAATGAGAGTATCAAGATATATCGATATATTTTTTGACAATATCGAAATATCACATTTTTTATATATCCCCCAGCCCAACAATTAAATACAAGCTAGATTTGTTTCCAAATCTGAAGAAGTCCGACTCGAGTGGCTGCTGCTTATTCGAAACTCAGTGCTGGGATGTTGTGGGAGGTTAGTAGGTGTTTATTGACTCATTTAAAGGTCAAGCATCGAAGACACCCTGAACCAATCGAACATACATGAGACAGAAACAAGAACACACACATCAAGATTCAAGCTAAACACGTCACCAGAGAGCATCTGCTGTAATCATCACACTGATGCACACTAAGAATGTTTCATGTTTTTGAGAGATGTCTCTTCTGCTCACAAACACTGCATTTATCTGATAAAAAACAGGAAGCGCGCCGAGTGCGGGCGCGGGCGGTAATGCACTCACTCTGTGTGCGGGTTGCGGGAGAATAAACCGATTCGTGAGACTCCTGCAAACTAGAAATATCTATAAATAAAACATTTAAAAACGAATAGATTTGTATTCATCTGTTGCAGAAAAGCAACAAGAACAACTAAAACAAAATAGAAACCATTTACAGGCCAGAGTTTCTATTCATAACACGTTTGCAGCGTTGAGTGAAGTAGCCAATCACAGACATACGTGTTGATTTCTTGAACGCAATGGCCAATCAGAAGCGTTACTCCCCTCACCGCTCAAAACAGACTTTTTGTTCAGTGCTGAATTCTGTATGCTGGCAAATCCTCAAATTATAACAAAGAAAGTGTAGATATTCTGAAAGATTGATTGTGCAGTCAGCTTCATTGATAACAACAGAGATGTGTGAGATCGCGATGAACTGTCAGCTTTTAGGAATTATTAAGGGAGTTCACTTACGTGCATTCAGTCGTGCAAACCATGCAGGAGCAGGAGCTGCTTGCTTTTAAGTTAAATTAACAGTGGTTTGTGAGTTAATGCTTTAAAAACAAATAATTTATCATAGGGTAGGGTTTGGTTTTGTTTACATTCATTTTATTTATAGTTTTTTGGTATTTATTCAAGTGTATTTTTTTAACAGAGACTGAGAATCCATTGCTTTTATTGTTTTTGGTTGTTTTATTCATTTATTGTGGACTGGATATTTAAAATGTTTTCCATTTTCAGTGTTAAATAGTCTTTAGAAATAAAACTTTATTGATCTTTGAAAAGGTGTACCTATGGAAGCTTCCGCCACTGAATAAAAAAATAAAATAATTGCAACTTTTTTATCTCACAATTGCAAGATGAAGTCAGAATTCTGAGAAATAAAGTCGCAATTGCGAGATATAAAATCGCAATTCTGAGAAATAAAGTCGCAATTGCGAGATATAAAGTCGCAATTCTGGGAAATAAAGTCGCAATTGCGAGATATAAAGTCGCAATTCTGAGAAATAAAGTCGCAATTGCGAGATATAAAGTCGCAATTCTGAGAAATAGTCGCAATTGCGAGATATAAAGTCACAATTCTGAGAAATAAAGTTGCAATTGCGAGATATAAAGTCGCAATTCTGAGAAATAAAGTTGCAATTGCGAGATATAAAGTCGCAATTCTGAGAAATAAAGTCCCAATTGCGAGATATAAAGTCGCAATTCTGAGAAATAGTCGCAATTGCGAGATATAAAGTCACAATTCTGAGAAATAAAGTTGCAATTGCGAGATATAAAGTCGCAATTCTGAGAAATAAAGTTGCAATTGCGAGATATAAAGTCGCAATTCTGAGAAATAAAGTCGCAATTGCGAGATATAAAGTCGCAATTCTGAGAAATAAAGTCGCAATTGTGAGAAAAAAGTTTACATCGAGTTTATATCTCGAAATTCTTACATCTTTTCTCAAAATTGTGAGATAAAAACTCGCAATTGCGAGTTATCAGGCCAATTGTGCAACTTTATAACATGCAATTCTGAGATATAAAGTCAGAATTGCGTGTTATAGTCAGAATTGCGAGATATAAAGTTGCAATTGCGTGTTATAAAGTCAGAATTGCGAGATAAAAAGTCAGAATTGCGAGATAAAAAGTCAGAATTGCGAGATATTAAGTCGCAATTGCGTGTTATAAAGCCAGAATGGCGAGACGTAAACTCGCAATTGTGAGATAAAAAGTCGCAATTACCTTTTTATTTTTCATTCTGTGGCGGAAACGAGCTTCCATAGTACCTGCATTATTTTGCCATTATCATTATTTTAGATGTAAATGGTCTCAGAACAACAATATTATCGTTGATTGCAATAATTTCTTGGACAATTTATCGTCCAGCCAAATTTGTTGTCGGTAAAAGCTAATGGCCAGTTTCCATCCCTTAGAAGCCTATGGAGGAGCGATCCAGCTCTCAGATTTAATCAGACATGATATCTTAATTTGTGATCCAAGATGAACGAAAGTCTAACGAGGTTGAACAACATGAGGGAGAGTCATTACTGACAGAGTTTTTATTTTATCCCTTTAACATTACAATGAATGCTCTGGACAGTCTGTTCTTTCAGCGCAAGCGAATGAGGGGAAGTTCAGAAAACGCTTTAATTGCAACACTGCCCTGAAGGCACTTCAATTTCACAGGAACACTCGTTAAAAATACACCAAATACTGAGTACAAACCCAATTACAGATAAGAGGAGACACCTGAATCATGAGAAAAACAGAGATGTGCTTCGGCTTCCTTCACCACTAAACATGTACAGTCGAACAACACCACTTCCTGCGTCGAGACGACAACCTTCAGCCCCGATAAGATAACTTTTTACATCCAACGTTCCCCTAAGCCACTTCAGAAGTGCAGAAACCATCAAAATGAGGAAATATTACTTCGCATATTGAAACTATTTTCTTCAATTGAGGAAACACTGCATTTACCAATCAAGGCCATTCACGGTTGCAACACAACATGCTCACACACTGGGTGCAGACGTATGCCATCATTCTCATATTTTTTCAATATGTGATGATATTTAGTCTGTATATGATTTGATAAGCCTAACGCAACACAATCTTGCTAACAGTAGAAGAACAGCAGAGATGTTTTATTGTGTTTGTCTTCTTTTACTGTTACTGTACTGAACTGAACACACCCCTCGAGGTGTGAAAAGTGTGGGCATAATTGGTAAAGGAACTTTGCTCATGTTCACATTTTAATCAAAGGAAACATTATTGCAATGCTTTCGCAAACCTTTTGTGAATCTCTGAGAAACTTTCCGTTCGCTGGCAAAACATGTGTGATGGAAATAATATGAGGTGGGAGGGTTACTTGCAACATTTCAGTGCTTTTGATTTCTTTAAACCAGAAAATTGTGAGAAAGCGTTTACATTTTTCAAAACGAACGCAAAGTTTATAAAGGAATACAATAGTTTTGCGAGAAAACGCAAAGTTTGTCAGGGGAACGCAACATTTTTTCAAGAAATTGCTAATAATTTGCGAGTGAACGCAACGTTTGTCAGGGGAACGCAACAGTTCTGGGAGAGAATGCAAAACTCAAAAGTATTGAAATTTGTTTTTCCTCCCATCTCATATTTTTCCATTACGGGGCTCCACATATATCTGACAGCTACAGATTACTAGATATATCAAAGACAGATGAACAGAGGAATTCACCACAGTGATATTCTGCCTGCATATTTTAGATATCTAACGCATTTTGTCATTTTTGTTTGTTTGTTCAAAGCATGCTACAGTCAACAAGTCAATCTCAATTACAGTCTGAAGTTCACACTTCAAGCAATGGTATTAAAGCGCACGAGATGCATTAGTTGTGACGTGTTGCATAAATAAATATTCGTAGATTTATAAAACGCAACTGTCATCAACTGAATCAAAACATAAACAGACAAAACAAACAAATAAACAAGCCGCAATCACGAGGGGCTGCACGCGAGCTTTGCCGCAAACCCCTCGCGCTTCCCTCCAAAACAATTCAAAACAAAAACACTTTGCTCTCAATAAATCCACCGGCTTCAGAATAAAAACGGATGACATCTTACAACATCGTTTCATTGAAGCAAAACGATAACCTGTGTCTAATTAAACGTAATATAATTAGTTATTAGCCAGACTTTACACGCTAGCCTGCAGCTAACGCACTGATGAGACTAAGCAACACCAAAGCATTGAGATTGTGTAATAATAAACTAGTTTAAAAGGACCGTACCAGCTGTTGTCGGATCCAGCGAATCATCCTCTATCGAGCTAGCGCAGTGAGCTAGCCCGCTTCACCGACACAATTCCCCGCAACATCAATAAAACTGCTTCCCCGGACGAGTCTTCCTCTCCGCATTACCGTCAAAACAAGTGTGCAGCCCGAACACACAGATCCCGGGCCATTGTGCCACCCGAACCCAGTGCGGTGAAGTGGAAACACGAACACAAACACACACCGACTGCGCTTGACGGAGATGACTTCTGACTGACAACATCCAGGAAGTGACGTCACCGCATGAGCATATCATCAACGGCTGAAAGTTGTGGCACACGTGCTACAGGAATTCCTCCTACTGATTATTTACATTTAAAATGATGTGGACTTAAATATAGCCTACACATTGACGCTGCCATCACATAATCTTTACTTTAAAGGAATAGCTCTGCCAAAAATCAACGTTATTGTCATCATTTACTCCCCACACCGTAATATGAGTTTCTTTTTTCCTTTCCCTTGTAGTGCCGGAAGTAGGGGTTTGGTTTGAGTAAATGTATAGTCATTTAATCATATTAGTCATTTATGTCACTATAGTTTAGTGGCATATTCCATTATTGATAGCCTTAAAGGCACCATGAAAGCAAAATAGACAAAAATCTTTTTATATGTGGGCTAATATTGTTTCTTATAAATGACTGTGTAAATTTAAAAGAAAAAAATAGTTATGTTCCTTTTAATAATCTTGAATCAGAATAAGTTTCCCTCCCTCAGTGACATGACATCTCTTCTCTGATGATGTTTTTACTTGTGCAAGGGCGGGGCAACCTGTCACTCACATGAGATCAGCCAATAGGAGACCATCCAATGAATTCCCCACGGGCAAAATCAAGCCTTCTGTGACTTCTCTTTCATGCTGACTTTAAATTGGTGGTGAAAAGAATCTACTTGAGATGTTGAACTAAGGAGTCTTAGATATGATTATGTTGATATTTCCAGAAGAATGCTTCAGGCCTGATCCTGTGCATTATGGGGAACGGATGCAGAGATTATGGCAGTGCTGAACTGAAGCCTGTCTGTCCAGCATTAATCTGACAGAACGCACTGAGTTACACCGTCATCCAGTGAGTCTCGGTAATCCATCGACCGGAAGTTGAAGCCTTGCGGGAGCCGCCATCTTGTAGCAGAGCTTCACTTGCGTTAGCATTCCCATTGACTCCCATTCATTTTGGCGTCACTTTGACAGCGAATAACTTTACATCTGAGGCGTTTGAAGACCCCATTTGTCCTTTATTTATTTCTAAAGAAACACGACAATGTATAAAATGCTCCATTACCTTGTAGCTTATGTTATGGCCCCGTAGAAGCAGTTTTAGTGAAAGTAGGCTGACGATTGCGTCATACCCACACGACTCTCTGTCGCACAGTAGAGAGATTACCGTATGGACAGGAGGAGAAGCTCGCGGGCAATCAGGGAAACATGGAGGCAAAATGACAAAATAATTTATCAGAATACCTAGCAAAATTGTCTCCTTCTGCTCGCTCATGGACAGCTCCTATTCACACTCTCCGCCTCTGCATGCTTCAGAAGGGAATGATTCAGATTTTCCATGCCACAGTACTAGATGCTCACGTCACATCTACGTCGTCAAGCTCTGTTTGAGTCTGCGCGTCAGGAACGGAAGTCCTAATAAATCGCTAAAAATGGGCTTCACTTGTCTCAGTTGAGCTCCAATGAGATGGCTCTGTCCACTTCTTATACTGTCTATGAATATCACTGCCGAATATTGTGGATAAATCAAAACGATGATTATGGATGTTCGGTTTTGTGCATTAAAGGTGCCATCTGTAAAAATTGAGGTTAAAATATCCAAAAAATGAGCTACACGCATCAAAAGAATGAGAAGAAAGAAGGTTGAAGAAATGACAAGTTATAGCGCTGCCGAGATATTAACCTGAAGTAGCATGCTAAATTACTAGCCCCGTGTCATAATACCAGCTTCGGCCATGGGAGGCGGTATGCGGGCGGGCAACATAACCACCAGCCAAACTGCACTACACGAATAACTCGCACGGCTTGTGTGTACTTGAACCTGATGTCAGTCGTGTGGAAATACAGCCCACTACTACATTTCAGTTCAGGGAAGAGTTCAAAAAATTATTGGTCGATATTATGCATGAGGAATACATTTTGGTAAGTTGTTGCGTACTGTATCTTTCAACAGTATTCGTGTTCTTTTCCCATTAGCTAGTAGAGATGATCAGTTCACGTGCGCTAGGGATCTGTGGTGTAATATTTACAAGCGCCAAAACTGTATTAATTGTTTGAATTGCGTAATAAAATTGACAGAATCTGAGAGCTGAGATTTTTTTATATATATAATTAACTAACCTGCTATGTTTAGTCTGTCAGTCTGTCCTTTTCTGTGCGTGACAAACTTTATGTGGCGTGACAGCGTTTAAAAAGTGTCAGTTGCGTGTCTCACGGTGAATTCGTGAGAGTTGGGAGCTCTGAATGCCGCTAGCTTGGTCATCAGCAAATGCTTCTGTCTAATTAATTCAAACTAACAAAAAAAATGTAATATGAACAAAACGAATACTGTAAAACTTCGAATAATAGCCTATGCTTTTATTTGTATTTGAGACAGGCATCTATGAGACAGTCTTTATCGTTTAGTGTTGAGATGTTCATTGAGTCTCTAATCTCTAAAAATCTCCAAATGCTCCTCGTGAAACTGCGGTCTTCCAACCTTTTACTATTGTATCAAATGATTTGATTAATATGCGCGAGGGAGAGTGAGCAAGACAGCGCTCGCTCCTGTTTGAAGACGTGAGAGTGCGCGCGGCCAAGGCACAACTCACTTTCTGGAGGTATACTGCCCCCATCTGGTATGGAATATGGAGTATGATTTGATTTTTTTTTTTTTGACAGATGGTACCTTTATTAGCCTTTGGCTATTACAGTAAGTTGATTATGGGCAAAGAGTCAGACAAAGACAGACAGACGGACGGACAGAAAGACAGACAGATAAAAAGAAACACAGACAGACAGAGATAGATAGATTAAAAGAAAGACAGACAGAGAGACAGAGATAGATAGACAGATAGATATATGGACACACAGATAGATAGAAAGACAGATAGACAGAGAAACAGAGAGAGAAACCAACAGACCTCATATATATATATATATATATATATATATAGGCAGACAAACAGAGACAGACAGACAGACAGACAGACAGACAGATAGATAGATAGATAGATAGATAGATAGATAGATAGATAGATAGATAGATAGATAGATAGATAGATAGATAGATAGATAGATAGATAGATAGATAGATAGATAGATAGATAGATAGATAGATAGATAGATAGATAGATAGATTCACTGAAGGCCGCTTCCGGTCCAGTGTCGTTTATAACACAGCAGCGCCATCCTCAGGACACAAACAGAAACACATGACGGCATTTCTTCACTGGGCAGTTGTTCAAATTCTCATTACTGTTCTGGATGGATGAACATCTGATCCAGTGAGTAGTTTTTGTGAGGAAAAATAAATATAGTTTGTACAGTGTTGCTGTGTGCTGTAGAGCTTGCATCAGTGTGGGCTAAAAGTGTGCGTTGAGGACACATATCAAACACAAAGTATGCATGAGTAACCTTCTGAAAATGAAAAATGAGACACCCTACAGTCTCATGGACTTAATGGACACATGAAATAAGTACACAAGATTGAAAGTTGAAGTGTGCCATTTTGTTTAAAGCTTTGTTCAATTTAATGTATATCATTTGACACAACAAATGGATAAAGTGTTATTTTAACTTTTAAAAAGCTATTAATGTTTTTTAATACTCATCCATCACACAACTAACATTTTGTTTTTCATTGACCAAACACAACATAATTCTGGTTTATAGTATTCGTGTTCGAAGGTGTCATGCTCCTTGTATGTTCATGAAAAGTATGTCCTTTCCATCTTGAGACTCAGCGGGGAGCCCGCTCTGGACTACCACGAAGTGCTGAAGGCGCCTGTGAAGTTTTGGCACTCTACCAGCTATAAATATATATATATTACCCCAAAAGTGCCGGAATAGTTGTAAGAAAAATAATAATAATAGAAAAAAATATAAGCAAAATAAGAAGGCTCATCTCCTTCTTCTTTTCAAGGCTTGGGCCCTAAAAATGCAAGCATTGATAAATACAATAGAACAAAGATACGGATGAAATAATCAGTGCTTTATGTTTTTCAGGTAAATCTAACAGTATTCAGGTACAGAACTTGAAAAATCAAATGTCTCATTGTATATATTAAATGGCTAACTTAATCTTTGTTAAAACTACAAAAGTGTTTTTTCTTTTCTTCTTTTCTTTTTGATTAACATTAATGACACAGACAGCTGTGGGTATAAGGCTGCTGTCACTTTAAGAGCTATAAACAGATACGTTGACGTGCCGACTTCAAGGACATGGTGCTCAGTCCGCAGCCGCTGTGACAGATTGGTCCACATGAGCAATGGCTTCACGGCCGAGTCTCGAGATCGGTCTGGCAACTTTTTGTATCACTGCCGTCAAACCTTCAGCCTGTGGTCAGACCCTTCATTTCTGCGGGCAGGTGTTCCCCTAGAACAAGTGTCCAGGCATGCTGTAGTCTTCACAGATGCCTCTGTCACCGGCTGGGGGGCCACATACAATGGGCATGCAGTCTCCGGTCTGTGGAAAGGGCCCCAACTGCATTGGCACATCAATTGCCTCAAGTTGCTTGCAGTATCTTGCGATGAGCCACCTCAATGGGCCGCTACGAGGCAAGCCAACACATTTTGAGATGCGCCTCGCATCGCCTGCAATGTAGTCGAGAGTAGGCGGCTGCAGTGAGGGGAGGAGTGAAAAAAGCGCAATCAAGCCGGACAGATCTAGGGTTCTCGCAGTGAATCAGACACCTGTGAGATCAAAGGCGGTTATCGCGGGATTAACGGGATTCACGCTCGTGCACGTGTTGCTAATAAACTGGATGTGATGAAGTTCTGTTGCTTTTATATAAAAATAAATAAAATGTAAATAAAACCCAAACTACTTGTTATTTAATTACATTCCAAATAGCCTATGGTTTATCAATCTTTTTTTTTTCTTTAATGACGTGTTTTTATATAGCCTATTGTTTTAACAAAAATGAAATATAACCCATATGGCACTGTCAGATAGGTTATTCACCCATAGCCTATGTATACACATAAAACATGATATCAGTTTTAAAATCAAACATTTTAAAAGAGAACAATTC